GTATCTGTTTCCTGATTGTTGTTTTTTTTTCTTGTTATTAGTAACGTTGCCGTCCGTTGATGTTTATTTTCTTATCATTACGCTATCCGTTACCATTCTCGCCATCATTAACCACCACTACCACTCATTATCACTACTGTCACCACGATCATCATCTTCAACACCATCTCCACCTTCATCAAAATCACCATCACCACACCGTTATCATCACGTCAGGAAAACTATTTATAGCCCTTGAGAGGGAGACTAAGGCCACATTCATAAATAGCGCCCTTGACTTGCTATCACTCCCCGGATATTACCCATAGCGTAAATCTATTTTAGAGGTTTATTCTTAAGCAGGAAAACTCGTGTAGTTCAGCTGAGGCGAGATGGACACCAGGATAGGAGAGGAGAGAACGCATTAGCTAGGGCCGTGCTTAGTCTTTTGGTGCAATTTCAACGCCATTTTAGCCTGCAGTTAAAGTTAAGGTGGTAGTCATGGAGAACTTGTATCATGGCCGTGGTTAAGCAGTGTTCTTGAGTTACCGTGATCTTGTATTGCAGGAAACGGGATTAAATGATTCTGAGGGGATTATTGGATTGTATACACACACTCGTGTACACACATAAATATTTATGTACACAGGCGAGTGCGCACATTCGTATACACATACAGTACAGTCTTACCTCCCCTGCTCGTAACACGTAGATTCCCCCCCCCCCTCTCCTCACCTGGCTCACGTCCCTTCCCTGGAGGCCCACTTCCACCTGCACCTCCGAACTGTTGCGTATTTTGTATCCCGGACTTTCCACCTCCTCGCCGCCTCAGGCCCAACGCGGACTTGGTTTTTGTGGCGAGACATGCGTCTCCTAACCCCCTCCCTCCCTGAGGCTGCACATTACTTCTCACCCGTCTTGTGTTTGTACACCATTTTCAACCCTATCCCCATGTTGGGACATGAATGAGTGTTGCTTTTGGGGAGATTATTTTATTTTTGTGTGTAAGTGGATGGATGATCATATCATCTGTTAGGGGTTAGGTTGGATGGCGGGATATTACTTTGTTTGGTGGATGGTATATATTGTTTATTCACTTATAACTCGTCAATGAACGTTAAGTTAAGGTATCCTCGGGTTTCTACATCAACATTGCTTTGGCTTGTGCGTGTTTGGCTGCGTGAGCGTAGCATTATTTTCTAAGAATACATCACAAAAGAAAATTGTTGTAGAAACGAGGCGTGGCCAGTTCGGAAAAGATTAGAACTACCCAGTGCAGAACGAGGGTAACGACGCATGCTAGAATATCAGCCTCTCACACGGAAGGGGCATTTTGCAAAATGCTTAATAATGACTGATACTGGTTTAAGGTAAATAAGGTAGCAGTATTAATTTTATATGTGCGCTTTCGAATACAGGTTAAAACAATCGTTAGACAGCTATACCAGAAGATGTGCGTCTACATGTTTAAAAGAGACATGTGGCAGTACCTCATGAGCGTCGGTGCTGGTAGTGACAAAATTGGCTCCCGTGCGATCATAGGCAATAAGCTTTAATGTTACTCTTCATTCTTCCTTATGTTTGGTGGGAAGTGTTATCAGTTATTCACCGATAGTATGGACGGGGACGTGGGAGGAGGCGGCAGTTGGACCTGTTTTGATGACGCAGTGGTGAGGGGGGGGGGGTCAGAGCGGAGCGTGAGGCAGCCTGGCTGAAAGGTGTCGGTGTTGCCAGATGAGACTGGGGAACTTCGGTGATTATTTATATATATATATATATATATATATATATATATATATATATATATATATATATATATATATATATATATATAATGTCCATGTTTGAATGTCTCACAAATACATTGACGAGAAGACCACAGGGGTTTCATAAACGAGTACAAAGTTACAAAAATAATTTCTAATCAGCGCTTGGTGGGGAGAAAATACAGTACTGAATGGTAAATTTTTATATGGAGGGTGTGGGGGCCCCTGGGGGTAGTCCAGCCAGTACAGTACCTCACACTTGCCGTGGCCAGAGACCTAGAAGCTCTAGTTATAGTCCAGGTCTGCTCGGAATGGGGGTCCCACCTCTTTTTGCAACCTTAGGTAACCCTTTTTTCACCTATATATCCCCATATTTTTCTGTACGTCCCTCTCCCTTTGTCATGTCATAATAATCATCTTTGTTTATATATATATATATATATATATATATATATATATATATATATATATATATATATATATATATATATATATATATATATATATATATATATATATATATATATATATATATATATACTATATATATATATATATATTGCCATATCTGAACATTAAAAAAGAGGACGCTCCGAAGACATCCCCCTCCCGGCACACACACAGGCTAATATACAATATACATGGTATAGAAATCTTAAAAAAAAAATTACCTTTGCTTAAGGCTGAATATCTTCTTTAGCTGGAGTCTTCTTCCCACACTGTGTGTGTGACTTGATGTGCCCATGCATACTTTTCTGTAGATCGGATCTTTTTTCAGTATTGGCTGATTGCTCTTTAGAAAGGTATAGAAGTCACTGCAAGGTGTTTCTCGGAAGTTGTACTGTACAGTCAGAATGCCTTTCATTGTTTCAACACTCAATTTGTTCCTTTCCTTTGTCCATTGACTTTGCATCAGTGAAAAAATTCTTTCTACATTAGCATTGTGAGATGATATAGCGAAGAAGAATTGTGCAATTCTTAGTGGCATTCAATGTTCTTTGATTTTTCAAAGTATCTGGTCCACTTTTTATGTGTTGGCAGATTACTAAATTCTTCATCACTCTTGTAATTTTCCACAAACTGCTTCAGGTTTCTAACTTGGTCAAAACACTTCATCAACTTCTACCCCCTTATCAATCAAATATTTGACAGCTAAGTTGACAACACCGTACAGGCGTACAAGTGACTTATCAGCTGACAAAAAATGAACGAGATCTCTACGGTTTCCACCTTCTCTCTCTCTCTCTCTCTCTCTCTCTCGTCATTACAGTTTCATGTTTTTTTTTCCGTGGAGAAAATGATGGAAGATGAAATTCCGGACTTTTGAAGAATTTTAAAAATTCCTTCCGGATGAAGATTTCGAGACCTAAATGGAGGACATGTCCGGGAAAATTCGGACGTATGGCAACCCTATATATATATATATATATATACACTCATCATCTAACATTAACTTTAATGTTCGTCAGCCCTCCATTGCGTCACGTACAATAATTATCTTCCCGAGACTCCTCACATTTGGTTTTAGAAAGTCGTAACTGGTGGCCCACAGTATGTTCGAGGCAGCATTTTTGAGGTGCGACACCACTCCATGTTGGATGGGGAAGGTTGAGAGCGTGGTAGACTTGTGTTGTCGGTAACACTTAAATGGGGGAATGTCGACGTCTGGCTGATGATTGAAGAATATTATTCTTTTTTGTCTTTTAGTTGTCTTGTTATACCGTGGACATATTCTCAATTTTACATGCACTTTCTTTGTTGAAATGCTTCAGGTTGACCAGGTGTTTTCTCTTATTAAACCAGAGTGGCCTTGAGTGCTTGTGTTTGACAACCAGACTCAATGTATCGCAAACAAAATGTCCAATGCAAATTTTTCTTTTAAACCGATTTATATAGTATCTTAAATTACAATGGTAAAGCTATACCATTATACGTTGTTGGTAATGCATAACTGATTTTAAGTCGTAATAAACTTTTGAGTGAGGTGGGTGTTTGTGTTCGTTTGCCCAGAGCAGCCGTGTTCCTGGGTGTGACGTCATTCAGTGGTCGCGCATCATAGGAACCTGTTCAACATCTCTTCCCACCTTCAATTCAATTTCAATTGTTTATTCCTTGATAGCAATTGTTTATTCCTTGATAGAGGAAGCGGGATCCTAGTGCTGTCACTAGGTACCCCTGTACAATGACACCAGAAGCATCTGGCAAGTGTGACAAGTATATACAGTATAAATATTATAAAGGGGCTTACTAAAGCCTAAGGAAGGAAGGATATTCCTTTAACACATAATCAATGTTATTTACAAAATATCTGGCCAGTATGGGGAGGATCATCGTGTCTCCGTCAGGGGGTCGTGTTTCCCACCTTCACTGGCTGGTTGGCTGGGTGACCTGCTGAGGGGGGGGGGGTCTTGTGTTAGGGGTATGTCGGCTCGGGGTTTTACATGACTGAACGTAAGTTGTAATTGGTTTTGTCTGGGAAAATCGAGCATAGTTGATTATTATGATAGTACGTTTAGTCAGACGGTTGCGTCGGGGGTGAGTGGAGCATTAAGCTTTTTTGTGAGGAAATTTTTTTTAGGGTGAGGAGGAATTTGTTAGGATTTTTATACGCCCTTGTAATGCAATACAGTACGTACAATGGAATGACTGGAGTTTATAAACACAAATTAATAATAACACAGTAAACTACGTAACGAAGAATTCATATATGAAAGAACATAGTTATACGTACAGTGGGGTATGCTGTAACGAATCTAATTGGTTCTAGAACCTTGTTCGTTATAGCATTAATCCGTTCCGGGCCCCCAAATACAACCACTTAACACTGAAAAATATAATATAAAATTGTAAAAATTTAAAAAAATGCATAAATATGCATCTAAACCCCTGAAATAAAGAGTATCATTAATACTTGTAATAAAAAAACAATAAATTAGTAAAAAAAAAAAATTTTTTTTTTAAATACTGTTTGTTGTAGGAGTTTTGTTCGTTATAGCATTCTCAATTTTATAGGTAAAACCGTTCGTTATAGGAATATTCGTAGTAGGATCCGTTCGTTATAGCATACCCCACTGTAAGTTACTTATTTTAATGTAATAACAGTTATTGCTCTTGATAGTTCGTAGCATTTGTGAATTAACATAAATGCAAACATTTAATTCTTGTGAGAAGCCATAAGAGTAAGGAGATTTATTCTCCTCTCAACTGGTTCACAGATTAGTGCTAATGTTTTTTGTTGTTTTTTTCCTGTTTCAGGGGACATTGGTGTGCACCCGGGGGTTGTCATCATGAGCGCCATCCCTCTGCTGTTGCAGTTTCCACAGACGCCAACGTCACCATCACCATTGCACCACACTTCCTCCCGTACACCAACCAATTTACACCATTCTCGTACTGCCAAACTAAATAACCGGAACTCTTTCCCACCTGATCAAAGCCAAGAGTCTCGGTGGGCTGCCCTCCTTGCCAGGGCCGCTCCAACCAAGCCGTACGGTGCTTGTAGTCCTGCTCCTCTGCACAACCGCATCAACACTGCCAGCCGCCAGCCATCCCTAGTGACACATCAGCTGTCACCTGTTATTCACCAGCCACCTCCACGTCAGTTATCAGGTGTCAATCACCAGCCCCCTGTCACAACACGTTCTACACCAGTCGCAACCTACCAGCCTTCATCAGACATCCATCAGCCTCGTCTAGTGTCCCATAACACTTCAAATTTTCGGCCACTGGTGCCTACTGCGTCCTTTAACCGAGCGCTCACTTCACCAACTGCTATCAAACTATTCAACCCGAGTCGACGGTTAAATAAGTCACAGTCACAACTCATCATGCCGCGCATGAAATCGCTGTTTCGGACGGGGCAGGGATCTCGTTCAGCCAAAGAAAAAAAGGAAACTCGAGATCAGCTACCTCGGGACGGGTCTGTCAAGAGTTTGGCAAACTATGAGGATTCCACGTCGCCAGAACCACTTATTCGAAAGTGCCACACAGTACTTGCGTTATCCTCAACTTCTGGCAATGCTGCGCAGACTCGTCTCGTAAAGGACAAGAAGAGCAGCAAATTAGACCTCCTCAGACGCATGTCACCATCCAAATCAGCTGTGTTTACATCAAATAAGATGACAATTGTCAAGTCTCCATCCGCCATGTCAGCCATGTCTGATCTACGGCGCTTAAGAAAGGACTCAAGCATGTTGTTTCCTCAGATGGAATTAGAAGGAGAAGGTGGCGGGTGTTCTCGCTGCGCTTCCGCCGCCTCCATGGCTTCTAGACGCTTCTCTACTCAGGACACAGTCTTTTGTAAGCTCTGCCTGTCAGATATCAACATTAGAGAAATGTATCAGCTACAGCAGTGCCTCTGCCGATTCTGCAAATATGTAAGTTGGAAGCATATGTAGTAGACCCTGATCTCACTATTTTGAATGAAATCTTGCTAAGCATCTGTTGGACATATGCCCTTTCTATCATATTAGTGTATTATACCTGGTAAGATTTTTAAGTATAATTTTTCTCCACAGTGTATGGCTGTTTACGTTACACTAAAGATACGCGAGGGTGACTACATCATTGAGTGTCCTGATGCAAACTGTGATTGCAGCGGGGAACTCACGCTGGAAGAAATGGAGAGTTTGGTGGGAAGTGATCTTTATCAACTTCACTTGAAATTTAGAAAGAATACAGGTGTGTACAGTTTCTGTATTGCATAAATAGAATGTGTTAGTATTGCAACTTGCTGAAAGGCTAATTATATATACCCGTGATGAAATTTTTGTGGCAGATATTTTTATTCATATTCCACCCATCACAGTTGACGATTGAGATGGTCATTACTTATTTTAGGACTTCATTAAGTTTATGTTATGATTTATATTTTAAACAGAGATAGATTTGGACCCAGTCAGAGCGTGGTGTCCGATGCCTGGGTGTGAGACTGTGGTTAATCTCCCCATTTCCAAGTTAGAGGGACCACAATGTACAACGTGTTCAACTTGCACTGCAGTCTTCTGTGCTGCCTGCAGTGAGCCATGGCACCCCAGTCAGCCTTGTCATGCGGACACAGCAGAATCACTGGTAAGAAGCATATTCTTGCCGTTTTCTTTAGTATTACCCCGCCTAACGCGGTTTCACTTAACGCGTTTTTTCATATACGCGGTGCCTCGCCAGAAGCGAACTTTCACTTAACACGGATTTTTTCCACATATACGCGGTGAGTGTCCGGCTCGAGACGCTATTTTTAGATTTGCCCCACCCGCCACCCTGCCTGACTGCCTGTTTTAGCTCATAAAATTCATACAAATTACCCGGCCAGAATATAATTTACATTGCTGGAATTCTTACAATATGATGATCATTTTGAATATAAACATCATAGATTTTGCATTAGACATACAAATTTTAGATATGTTTATTCTGAGTAAATGTTATTTTTTGTGCAAAATATATGACATTTGTATTCAAAATATTCCTGGTCTTACAAGGAATCCGGCAATGTCAATTATATTATCCTAACTTTAGTTTGAGGTATTATTTATTACTAAAAAGTTAAATATTCTGGTTTTCCCACACATCTCCTTGGGACGGTTGGTGGGGGGTGGGGGGGAGGGAGGGACCGACCGACCATCTGTTACCCTGTGAAGAATATATTTTTTTTTTTATTAACTGAAGATATTTGTTTTAGCTCATAAAATTCATACAAATTACCCGGTCAGAATATAATTTACATTGCTGGAATTCTTATAATTTGATGATCATTTTGAATATAAACATCATATATTTTGCATTAGACATACAAATTTTAGATAAAATGTTTACTCTGAGTAGATATGTTCTCTTTTGTGCAAAATATATGACATTTATATTCAAAATATTCCTGGTCTTACAAGGAATCCAGCAATGTCAATTATATTATCCTAACTTTAATCTGAGGTATTATTTAATACAAAATGTTAAAATTTATTTTTTTCACCCAACCTTTCTCTTGAAGGGAGGATTGGGGGGGGTGGGGGGGAGGGTTGGGACTGACCGCGCGGTTGGAAGAGGGGGGGAGGCAAGGTGGGGTACTTTGATTGACAGATAGTGTCGTGAAGAATATTTTTTTTTTATTAACTGAAGATATTTGTTTTAGCTCATAAAATTCATACAAATTACCCGGCCAGAATATAATTTACATTGCTGGAATTCTTACAATTTGGTGATCATTTTGAATATAAACATCATATATTTTGCATTAGACATACAAATTTTAGATAAAATGTTTTCTCTGAGTAAATATGTTATCTTTTGTGCAAAATATATGACATTTATATTCAAAATATTTCTGGTCTTACAAGGAATCCAGCAATGTCAATTGTATTATCCTAACTTTAGTTTGAGGTATTATTTATTAAAATTTAGTGGTTTTCCCCCCAAAAATTTCTCAGAGAGGGAAGAGCCAGCAGTGTAGTGTGAGAAGAGGGGGAGGGAGTTGAGTCCATTATTTGAATGGACATTAACTTGGCGACTGTATTTCTCTTAAGTATTAATTGTGTGCATGTACCATCATAAAATTAAGATGTTATTTTTACTACAACATAGTTATGTGTCGTCAAAAAGTGGAGTTTGGGGGTCGGGCCGGTTTCTATTGGAATTAATCCCATATGTTCTGTTGTTCACTTAACGAGGTACCCTCTGGGTTTTATTGACCGCGTTAAGTGGGGTACAACTGTACTGTATTGTTTTAACTACTGTAATGGAAATTAGCTGTGATTCGGTTAAAAATTGCTTCTCTGTTTACTTTTTAACAGTAAAGTGATAATTAGTAACATTATTTTAGTACAATACCTGTACAATGAATTAGAGTACTGTACAGGTCTCCTAATAATAAATCCACATTTATTCCTCCAGGCTGTACCAAATGATGACACAATAAAGAGGTGCCCTTCCTGTAAGGTACCGATAGAACGTGATGCTGGGTGTGCGCAAATGCTTTGCAAGAAGTGTAAACACGTCTTCTGTTGGTATTGTTTGGCTTCCCTTGATGTAAGTTGATCACATTAACATTGTAATTTTTATTTTATAGTGGTAACTGCCATATTGTTTAAGATCATGCACATCTTAATATCATGATGTAAGTTTTTTTGTACTGAACATCAGATATGACTATATTTTTCACACACACACACACACACACACACACATATATATATATATATATAAGTACAGGGTATATAAATTTATCTTCATATGCACATCTCTTCTCCAACAGGATGACTTCCTTCTGCGTCACTATGATAAGGGGCCTTGTAAGAATAAGCTGGGTCACAGTCGTGCTTCAGTTTTATGGCATCGAGCTCAGGTTATAGGCATATTTGCAGGCTTTGGTCTGCTTTTGGTAGTGGCGTCTCCTCTTCTTCTTTTTGTTGGACCATGCCTGCTGTGCTGTAAATGCAAACCCTGCTCCAAGCACGAAATTGAGGAGGATAGTTTATATGGCATCTGAACAACTATGAAGACTAGAAGTGGTGTTTAAAACCAAAGAAAAATTTTTTTCTGGGGATCCCAGTGAAGTCCTCTGAAGCCAAGATAATAAAGCTCAAATGGTATCATTCAGTCACACAATGAAGAATCCTTGACTTGTGTACAGACTTACATACAATTAATACAAAATAAGGGAAGAAATACAGTGGACTGGAAATAGAAGAAATTAAGTATAGAATATTTGTGCTTTAATATCATGAAAGAAACTGATAAGGATTTTTCAGTGACTAGGTGGATGAACATGGGTTCCAAGTGTCACAGTAAGATAATGCTGTTTTGTTTTCTATATAAATAGAAAATTAAGCTCCTATTGTATATTAAGTCAGGTACTGTATGAAGAATAACTTCCAAATTTCATACAGGAATATCAAGTTGAGTGATGAGGTGTAATGTGCCTGAAGAATATGGATCCATGAGGTATTGGATAATTTTCAAGCTGTGTGGGGTGTATATATGATATGAGAAATTTCTGAACATTATAGCATACATGACTGATAATTCTGTGAATTGATCAGTGCTCTTAAGGGTTGTTTTTCCTTGTGTTGATTATAAAGATATGATATTAATGTCTTTAACATGTAATTTGAATGACTTGTGTATCAGCGGATTGGGTACTTAAAATGAAGTGTGCAGGGATCTTTGTACTTGCATTGCACACAATATTAAATTACAGCTACACAATCAAACAAAAAATATAACCCCTATATTGAAAAAAAAAGAATCTGTTTTCGGATTCTGATATAGAATGTCTGCTTTAAATTCTCTACTGAGGGTTGACAAAGCAGATAGATTGTTTATATCAACCCTATCACAAGCTCTTCTGAACTCCGGTAAAATTTGTGCACGAAATATTATTCCTATTGCTTATTAGCTTCTAAATGTGAGCTTTCGTGTAACTGATGGCACTTCTTTAAATTTATATATTATTTGGTATATTTTCTAATACTTTTCTGTGGGAAATGAGCCAGTAGGAAATTTTTTCCCCATGGTATTCCTATATTAACGCACAATACTGTAAAGTGAAAAATTACTGTGATGCTTTGTAGCCTATATCACTCTGGGTATTAAACACAAGAGAACAGTGGTGTGGGTAGACTGTGTGTACACTCAGTTGCCTTGTGTGAGTGAGCAGATTTGTATGGTACAGCAAATGTTTTAAGTGTAAGGAATGGATATCAATGATCACAATATACTGAGTTATAGGGAAGACATGACCCTCCCATCCACCCCTGACTACTGTTACAGATGTCATCCTCACTTGGATAAACTAGATTTACCATGGGGGCACTGGCACACACTCCTGGTACACCAGTAAGACTCGTGCCAAGTTTTCCAGACATCCAAGACCTGGTATCCTTCCCCAAGGAGCCTATTGAGGAACACTGGAAAAGGATTGGCAGAGACGTTGTCCAGGAACTTGCGTGTTGTTTCATCACCCGACGGACTTTCATGTGTCCCCACCGGTCCATGCTCTCCCCCCTGTGATAGCCCGGAACACTACCAACAAACACCACATTGCAGTTACTGAACTCATATTTCTTGACGAGGTTTGCCCATCGTGTGAGGTCTGGAACTTTGTATGCTAAGAGGTAATCCACCAAGTCACGTTTGAAGTGAGTGGGCGACTCTCCATCTAGGAGGCTCTCTCTTCCGTTCTCAAGCTCAGGAAAGACAGGTGACACCCAATACCCCTGAGTCTTCTCGTACCAGTCATCAGGGATGAGGTTGGCCGTGTGAACAACAACTCGACAGCCAGTCTTGTATTGAAATAACATGATCTTGGTGTGGTGAGTTCCATATTGAAATGGTATCTTGACCTTATTACACACAACGGAGGAATGGGCCTTAGGGTCGCCCTCCATCTCTCCATACATCACCAGCAGGGGTTTTGTGTGTGCTTGTCCGGCCTTATAGTTCTCCATTAGGAATTCAAGATCAACCATGAAGCTCAGCTGAGCGGACTCTACAAGCTCTCCAAGCTGTGGGTTGAGGAGATCTGGAAACACAAGAGCCAATGGGTCTTCCTGAGTCTCCTTTATGCTGAAGGTCTTGTTGAGGAAATAATTAAAAGGCTCACTGGCTGACAGATGTGCTGGAAATGGCAACTTGGAACGGGTTATCTTTTGAGATGTTCCAACAGGTACAGATTCTTTTAACCTTTTCTTTGGTGGTCCAGCAGTGCCAGGAGTACATTCTTTGTTTCTCTTGTGTACTGTCTCCTTTTTACCACCCTCCAGGGGGGGGTGATAAAACTCTTCAAGTGCAATGGCTTTTTTCGGTAACAAGAAGATCCATATTTACAACGAGGTCGTTTCTTTGGTGGGGTTTTCGGGGAGTTGGTAACACCATCTTTATGACAGCTGGGAGATGCTTCAGAATAATTTTTACTTGCTTGTGTTGCTGTATTACCACACTGTAACACTTGTCCTGCTCCACCACCGTGACTACTGGCCTCCTCCTCCTCGTCATCATCAGTCTCGGACATTTCGTGAAACTTAGAGGCGATGCTCTGAGCAAATTTTGCATCTTGCTGCTCTAGTGCTTCTGCAACTTTGTTTTCTGCATCAAACTCAACTTGGAGTCGTCTTGCGAATTTTTCATCAGGATCCATATTGTTGGTAACAAGGCAGCTGGTGGTGGAGTAGTTTTATCCTCTTCGCCACTGATTGGCTTGTTAGCCGCTTGGGCGATCGGTCACGTCTCTGATTACTTTCCTTTTCGTTTATCTTCACCAAAAGATCGGCTCGCTAGCCGCCCTGGCGATAAGTCACGTCTCTGTCACGCACTATTGGCAAATACTGGGTATGCAACGGCTCCTGAATGTACCTGAACCCGCTCCAGTGTTGGTCAAGTCTTGTCTTGAAAGAGCTCACACTCGGTGCCATCACAACACTCTCTGGTAGATTGTTCCAAGAGTTTACAACCCTCACTCAGAAAAAGTTTGCCCTCACGGTTTTCTGGACTTGCAGCTTCTTCAATCTTGAGCTGTGGCCCCTTGTGGGGCGAGCGTCCGCCAGCTCCAAGTAAGGACACTCAACTGAGTAGTGACCCCTGAGATGCTTATACACCTCAACTAAGTGCCCCCTTGCCCATCTGTAGTATAAGCTAGGCAAGTTCAGGTGCTCCAATCTCTCAGGGTAGCTGAGGTGCCGAAGTGCAGGCACCAGTCTGGTGGCCCTCCTTTGAACATTTTCAACCAACTGACAGTCCCTAGCATATCTTGGGGACCAGATGGGGAAGCACTTCACTCCTGAAGATCGTTACGAGGGACGGACCGTCTAGATATCTGAACGACCTTCTTATAAGACCCAATAATTTATTTGCCTGATTTACCTTCTTCTCGCAATGGCCTGAGAACTTCAGCTCATTGCCAACATACACACCCAAGTCCATCTCTCACACAGTCTCAACTAGTGCAGTTTCTTCATCCCGTTGGGACATATGATACGCCTCCTTACCGTTGGTACGCCCCATGTGCATCCTCTTACACTTCGTGACACTGAATCTTAGCAGCCATTTCTTCGACTATTCCTGGAGCCCACAGAGGTCCTTCTGCAGTTCTTCACAGTCTGCTTGGTTCTTAATTTCTCGAAATAACTTGGCGTCATCGGCAAACATTTGTATGGAGGAGTGTACAACATCAGGCATGTCATTTATGAAACAAACAAACAACAGCGGGCCCAATACACTGCCCTGTGGTACCCCACTTGTGACAGGTACAGATGACGATTTCGTGCCATTAATCACCACACACTGCTTGCGGTCATGTAGAAAGTCTTCTATCCACGCTAGGACATTTCCCCGAATTCCGTACCCTTCCAGTTTGATTTTCAGCCTTTCGTGGGGTACACTGTCGAAAGCCTTGGCAAAATCTAGGTAAATATTGTCGATATTACCACCCTGTTCCAGAATATAGGTCCAAATATCCAATACCTTGAGCAATTGTGTTAAGCAGGAGTGCCCTGGCATAAAACCATGTTGGCAATCTTTTACAAGGTTGTTTCGTATTAGATGTTCCAGTGCGGCATCTCTGATAATGCTCTCAAGTACTTTACATATTATGCTGGTCAGGCTCACCCGTCTATAGTTGTTTGTGGAGTGACTATCGCCCATCTTGAAGATAGGACTCACATAAGCCACTTTCCATTCACTGGGGACCATTTGTTCATCCAGGCATTTACAAAACAGGATCTTCAGGGGCTCTGCAAACTCATTGCACAACTCTCTTAGCACTAGGATGCACCATGTCAGGTCTGGGACTCTTATGGACCTTTATCTTTGACAGTTTATTTCTAATACCCTCTTCTGTGAACACAAACAAAATAAAATTTAAAGTCTCTGTGGCACCTATGACACGAATAGGCTGGCAGTTATCCTTACCAGCTTGACTGCCAATATGTATTCACTTTAAGTTATTTAAAGTCTCTTCTGCGGTCACTGATGACAATATGAACTGGTTTACCTAAAATCACAGTACAGTACTACACTCCCTGGTTGGCCTTTATCACAGCCGTGACCACAACTCCTTAAAAAAAATAAAAATAAAAGCTTTGTCATGTGGCAGTGATTTTGTGGTTATAGGCCTCGTGACCTTGGCTGTACCTCCAACTCGGTGGAAATTGAGTTTTCAAAAATACAATCGCGTCTAACATTAAAAGTCCTACATCGATTTACACTTTCACATCACTAAGACGATCTTGACGATCTTATGTAATCACTGTCCAATTTCTGCCGCTCTACATCAAAGGCCCGAATGCCGAACACGCTTTGTTACAGAGACGCAACACAACCCGCCCGCCCCAGTGCATTATACTTTTAACGGAGTTAACTAAAAAAAAATTGTCATATACAGTACTTTTAAAGGAGTTACCCAAAAGAAATTTTGCTATTTACTTTTAAAGGAATTACCTAAGGAAATATAAAACAATTGCAATGTACACATTTAGTTAATTTCAGTATAATTTTAACAACATTTTGGTGTTGTACAGTACAGTCTAGTGAAATAGGTAGGAATGTTTGAAGTCCTTTCACATTTTTACAAACACCGAAAGTTCCAACAACTTGAAGCTGTGGGGTGTGTAATGGAATTTATTATGAGAAACTTAATTGGATGATTGTCTTATTGTGATGCACAATTTTTTTTTAAGTACAGTATATACAATACTGTCAGGAAATTTGTTATGTTACAAAACTTTGACTGTTATGGAGAATCTTGATACATGCTACAAAATGTTTACTTTACTACACATCTCACATGAACAAAAGTTGTGGATTTCTTATCTGTATCAGCAAAATGAGACATTTAGATGATTTCCCAGTTTGTGGTAGAACTTTGAAGAGGTAATTGTGATCAGTCTGTGTCCAGTGTACCTGAGGGAGGTGTGTATGATTATAATGAATAAAATACAATCCATTAGCTTAGTATTTGATCCTGTAAATGTGAATGAATGATGAACACGTTTAGTTGATGTGAGATAATTATCAGTGAATAGACCAAATTCAGTTCAAGTACTGTAAAAATCCCAGTAGACACAATTATTCTCATACAAGTACAGTACTGGTATATACCTCAGCACACTGTTGTCATGCATATCCAGAGGAAAATTTCACTTTTAATGTATGGTATGTCATATATACAGTAGAGTACAGTCTATAAAATAAATTTAGTTCTTATTTTTGTTGCCACATGTACTGTATTCATCTATCGATACAGTATCCAAATACTGTACTAATCCACATTTCCTTGACCCACATGCATTTTATGCATCAAGTGTAGAAGAGCTAATGTCATTTCTTGTATTTTATGACTAAAAAAGGGAGCGCCGCTGAATTTGTACACTACAGTATTTTTCTCCTATTATTTGTTTTGCATGATTTTGAGAAACTTTATTATTCTTAATATTACATCTAATAAAATTGGCTGTGATACAGTAATAAGGTGAGCTTCTGGATATCAATTTAGAACTTTACCATTTTCTATCAGCTAGGTGTGACTGTGTATGCAAGGAAGTACTGTAGTAGCTGTTCAGGGAGAGCATAAGCTAATAAGCATTATTTTTTATATTGTGTTCAATTTATTTTTTAATTAACTGCACTCTTCAGTGTTATGTAATGGGTCTTTATTTCCATTCTCTTGCCTGTTTTTATAGTTATTTTGTCACAATATTTTGTTCTGTCTACAGTACAATGATCTCATCATTTGTTTACACTGCAAATGGTGCTATAGGATTTAAATTTATGTACGAGTAATATTAGATTTTTTTATGAGCCAGTGAGTAAGACTCCTTAGTGTGATAAATTTTAGTTACCTGCGACACCAAATGAGCAGATATGAAGTTAAATGTGATATTTTGTACATATTTCACTGTAAATATTTTCACGCTATAATGTCACCACATTTAATATGAGCACATTATCACATCTCTTGCCAGTGTAAAGCTTGCACTCTGCCTCCTCTCTCTATTTCATGCATTCATAACCGCAAGCCCAAATGTTTCATGTCGGTTCCAAGCACTGCCCTTCAAACAACACCTTTCTTTTCACCAATCATTCAGGTGACAGGATGCTGTATTATCTCAATATTGAGAGTATCTTCCTCTCCAGCCATCATGTAATTGGACCCTCCACTGCCATCCAGTAGTGTCGTGAAAGAAGTTTCTAAAGTCACCAACTATCCATGTAAATCTCCACCATTCAGTCATAGAAACTATATCAGTAACCCTAAAAGCCTTCTGTCATATGTGAACCTTTAGCTGAAGCACATATTGCTCAATGATTGGTATGTACTTGTAAACTTTTGTACTGGTTTATTTTAGCTGCCATATTTGGTATGTGAAGTGCAAAATGAATGTAAAGCCTCCATGAAATACTTCATAGGTAGAAATTTATTCAAGTAATTTAAAGGGCATTAGACATGCTATACTATTGTGAACAGTAATTTCGTGACTTAACCAGCAATACAGTATACTGAAATGGTCATTTAATGTATGTCGGTATTCTGAATCTACTTCTTAGTCTTTTACTGTGCCTCTTCTTCATATCACCAAGTTATACAGAGTTCTCCAATGTGAGTCTCGAGTCTAATGATCTCCTTTTGTTATTTCACAAACTTTGTATGCATTATACTGATAGTTGACACATAAACATGAGGAGAGTGAGTGCTATATTTATGTACTTCTGTGGCGCAATAAACTCCACCAGTATATTAATCATTTTAATTCTCCTTTCTCAATTTTATTTATTACAGTACATGGTGATAGTTGTGGAGTAGACCAGATATTTTAGTCTCTTCATAATTATAAAAAAAATAGAAAGAGAAGAACAATGATCATAGAGTACAGTACTGTACATAATTATAAAAGAAGATGGTAAATTTAAATAAAAAAATATTTTATTAAATATGATTATAAAGTAAAAATTACATAATGGTAAATACGACCCCCTGACGGAGACACGATGATCCTCCCCATACTGGCCAGATATTAT